TATTATTATTATTATTATTATTATTATTATTATTATTATTATTATACGTTGATTTATTTGACAGTAAATATAATTTTATGGTTTTGATTTGCTCTATAACTTCTTCACTTAACATACTAACCGAAGAACTTATCAGAAACGCCCAAATGAATCCTTACTGACTACAATGACTATAATAACTCATTTGCTGTAACTAACTGACCTTGTGGAGAAGGGGTGGGGGGGTCCTCCCGGACAGACAGCGATGGAGGCAGCGAGGGGGTGGAGAAGGAGAGAAAGCGAGAGAGAGAGAGAGAGAGAGAGAGAGACGAGCAGAGAGAGGGGGTGGGTTATTTCTGAGCTCAGGGCCGAGGATTAGGCAGGGAGCAGTCCCAGTACGATGACAGCATCCAGCTTTTAGCCAAACCCCCCGCACACCACATCACCATCATCATCTGGCGCGGGAGGATATTTTCGAGAAACGGATTTCGTCTCGTATAAAATCTCTCGTCTTTTAGTAGAAAAGAAGGGGGAAGCCTAACCACCAATCCCCCCCTCCTTAGACTCCCGGTCTCCCGATCAACCACGAGGTGAGTCCTTTACTTATTTCGCGGCGTTTGCTGTCTGATGAAGGACAGGAGCGCCCGGCTGGTCACGCAGGCGCCGACCGGCACCTTGCGTTCAGACAGCCCTGCGATTTGCACCGATTATCATCTGAATATGAATAATTTAACTCGTGGTCACTTTCCCATCACCCGCGGGCTACACCCGGGACCCTATATTTGACGGAGGTGGCGGAGATTTAAATCCGATTAAGATTACGCTGTAAGGGAAACAACAAAAGAGTGACGTTTTTTCTTCTTTGTTTAGCCCCCTGGATTGAGGGGCATGGCTGATCAAAGTTAGTGTCTGGGCTGTGAGATGGCAGATATCGATGCTTTTAGGGGCATTCATGATGGGTTTGTGAGAGAGGCGCTGAGGTTAAATCTCACAACCCCCAGTATATTAATATTATATCAACACAATATAATATACAGTTATAGCAAAATCTCAACAAAATAGTGCTCAGTCTATAATTCACCATATTCTCAAACGCATGTGTTATGCATCGGTATTGGAAATCCACGCTGTCGTGTGCGCAGTGAAATCACCGTCACAAGCTACAGATGGGAAATGCACGGACGAAATCCTGGCTGATCAGAGGAGGAGGGGGGTGGGTAGGGGGGATGCCAGGAGTCTGGGTAGTAAAACACGCACACTATGAATGGGCGTAGGCGATGTGCAGCCAGCCTGAGACAATCGTCTCTTCCGATTTTTCCTTCGCTCGTGTCCTTTGGCCATGCACCTCTCTCCCTGCTCTATCTCTCTCTCACGCTCCCGTGCCGTGTCGGGCATGACAAGCGCAACATAACTAGACCGGAACAATGCGTTTCGCTTGTTCTGGGGCCCTCCGTTTAACGCATGGCGTGATTTAATGTGACCGCTTTGTTGCGGCCCAGACCTGTGTAGTAATGCAGCTTCCACTCATTGCTATCTTCTCACTGATATCTTCTTTTCATGCTTCTGTTTGCGGTCCGTATGGCGTTTTGGCGGATCCTAAACATAAAGCTGCTTTCACTTAGCGTGTATACATGTGAGCACGCCGCCTGCGCTCCTGCCAGCGCTGCAGGCTTTGTGCTATGACTCAGGGATGTATGCTGAAGCATGTGATGGGAATTGCTGCTCTGAGGTCACTCCGCCAGAGAAGAAAAGCGACGGGCAGAACTTGCACATCAGGAAAGACTTGATGCCTGGCTGCATTATCCTCGATCTTCTCTGCTGACTGCTCCTCTGCCCCACTTAACCAGAGCCAGTCTACCATCCTCTCCCTCTCTCTTCATCTTTAGTCTCAGCTCCATGTCTCCGGGGCAGACTGTGCTGCTGCTGAGCTGGTGCTTTGCTGCTCCTGCTCCCAATACGCTGACCAGTACGACCTGCTCAAGAATTCATCTTCAGTTCATGTTATTATAAAGAGGAAGATTTCCGCTAATTAGTAGTCACGGGTTGCCTAATGTGATTGTAGAGGCTGTTTCTGGTGGATATATGAAGGGCTATATCCATGCATCATGGGTTTATTATTGAGTATTTTACACCTGTTTCATCCTGGAGCTGTCGCCAGAGGAAACAGGAGACGTGACCTCATTCATGTGACAGCTCTCTGGTGATGCCACCACTGACTGGCAGTGGTATCTTAATGTAGGCCAACCCCCCTTTTCTGTGAACATATAGCAAAAGACTTTGAGAATGAAAAGAATTTTCCTTAAAAGCCCAAGCAAATCATCGGCTCCTAATAATCAGGTTTTCTGTTCTTAGCTGTGATATGAAATATTGAAAGCCTGCTGTATCTTCGTTATTACAGAACCCGGGCATTATTATAGCTTGTAGCAAACAGACTGAACTCTTATTGCTTTTACTTAAAGATAAGACTTGTATTGTGTTCCTCTTAAGGATCACCGACTTGAAGGAAATTGACTCAGACAGCAAAAGAAAAAAAGTGTTGCAGAAATTCCAGACTTGCTACATCTATCACCCTGGTATATCCAAAAGCTTTCCTCAGACATCAGACGTCTCCTCTCTTTTTATGTCTGTCTGCATGTTTCCTTCTCTTTAGAACCATGAGAACCATTGATATAGATCTGTGACACAACACAACGTACCCATTATTTAATAGTGCACAGGGGAGCTCAAGCCTTGCCAGGTCGCTGATGAAAGGGGGAATGAAACAAGCGGTGCACGGTGAGCTCGGTCTCCATAAAGCTAATGGAATGAGCTGACAGACGGAATGAGAAACAGAAGATGGGATTATGTCTGGAAGACAGGTTGCAGTAACAAACAACCAGCAAAACACAACATGCCGTGAAGTTAAACAAGCAAACAAGCTGTTCCTTTTAAAATCAACCTTATCAGTGATTTTATTCCTTCTTATTTTTTGCAATTGCATAGCATGGACCAATGCCACATGCCGCATCATATAAGGAAAACAAGCAACCTCCACCAATAGAAAGTCAACAAAAACCCCTACAGCTAGCTTTGGTGATGTTTCTACTTAATTTTATGGCAGACCATCACCTAGAAATTTTGTACAGCATTTTATGCTGGCATGCTTAGTGGATGTTGAATCTAAATATTTAATGGGCACAAGAAAGCATCAGCCTCATGGTAGCACTAAACAAAAAGTCAGAGATTCTCCAGAGTCAGCTGGATTCATCATCCATGCGCCTCAAGAGTCTCCAACAAATTCTGTGGTAATATTTGTAGACATACACATCATGGTGCCCACGGAGCCACAGCCAACCTGGCTACAAATACAAGACTATGTAGGGGCGTCTCACAGGTTTGGTGGTTTGATCTCTGCCTCCTGCTACTTTGTATCCTTTTACTGGATATTAAAGCACTTCCAAAAACCTCTTCCAATCTATGTATGTATGTGTAATACCATATAAATACACACGCTTTAACTCTTTACCCCCTGAAAGTCTATTAAGAGCAACACTTGAAACGCTTTTCTGAACTGAGCAGCTTCTGTCATATTTCAGGCCTGCTTATAGAAGAAAATTACTGGGTGTGTATCAGAAATTAGTGAGGGTGGTCTCTACCTCTGCAGCTAACCTCGAAAAAGGCCGGAAACTGTCCTAATGGCAGTCAAACCACAGCTTTATTGATATATACTGAGGTGTCAAAAGCTGTCATTAAGGGTGCGGGGAAGGTCGTCAAATGTCGTCTTTATGGAGAAAAGAGTTAATGAAAAGCATCTGATGGTTCATCATGGAGTCGCTTTTTAATTACTTTAACCAAAGTTGAACATTATTTTAGACACTGTCCATTTTAAGTTCTGTGGTTATACAACATCCACATATTGAGCTTCTTACACAAAGCGACTTACAGTTCCTTACTTACACGCATAGAGCTACAGTGAGCACTCAAAAGCGTCTTTTTATTTAGACATTCATTAGCAAATTTAATGAAATAATCAACTTTCTTTTGACTTTCTAAGGACACATTGTGAGCGTTTCCCCACCTTATATATGCAGTCAAGCATTTATTTACTTTATTTTTAAAGTCCTTCAGTATGAGTAAAGTATCTTGTTGCACTAAGTAAAAGACAAAGAACAAATCCTGCACCCTGACTGACTCTGGGGGGTTGTGTTGTCTGCTCTGCTTGTTGTTCTTCACGTTTACAACTTTGCATTTATGAAATCTGAATCATTTCAGCTGTCTCACATTAAATCCCCCCCCCAAACACCACCACCACCACCTCCTCCAGTCCTCCAAGTATTGAAACACGCAGTATTTTCTGCCAAGCGTGCTGCTGTTGGACTGAATGTTCCCTGAAGTCTGTGTCCAACTTTATTGGCAACAACTGTGAGCCAAAATGAAATGTGGAGTTGCTGAACCAACCCCTGCTGCCGCTGTCCTGCACCTCATGCGGTGCAGCTGTATTCGGCGTGTCGTGCTCGGCTTGGGAAGGGGGTTGGGGTGCGTATGTGTGCACGGGACAGATTGGGAACAAGATGTCCAAAACACCCAACCGGTCCTTTCTAAATAAAATCTGTTGTCGAGTCAGTGGATTCATGCCCTGATGCGACTTCTCTGTGCCACGTTCAGGTTTTTCTGTACCGATGTGGTTTAGCCCAGCAGTGCTAATTGGGCTTAAAACCATTTTCTCTTCAGCTGACTGCACAGGAACTGCCCGTTCAGTACCACCTCTCAGCCCCCCTGAGGATAGAGTCCAGAAGCCCAATTCTATGAACTGCATGCGTCCTCAAACTGGGATTAAATAACTGGCTGTTTTGTCAGCGACAGAGAGACATTGTGTGAGGAAAATGAGCAGACGGGGGAGGGATTGTCTTAGAGAAATCAGACACAGACAAAAGAGAGAGAAAAAAAGAGGGAAGACAGACTTTATTACCTAACAGCATTCTTCTACGTTCGCCATGTAAAGTGAAGGCTGGTGTAGGGGTGAGAAGGTGAAGGGAAAAAGAGGAGGGAGACTGAGTGAAAGGCCAGGCAGGCTCTGAGGCTTACTGATGAGTTGTTTGCATGGTGAGCTCGGGGATTTCAGGACGTGACAGTGCAGGATGGCATTTAAGATTCACTATTGATTCAGAGAGAGATTAAGGAGCAGACCCGTCACCGTCTTCCACTGTGCTGGGTTTGGATAAAATGAAGATGCTGGCACACATTGAGAAAACTGAAGCGATCTCTCACAGTCAGAGAGGAGGGTTCTACAGGTCTGAGTGTTGTCTATCTGTTTGTTAACAGCTCCTTCTGTCTCACTGTTTGCTCTCAAACGGTGGTAAAAAACCTCGCCTTCACTTGACCACCCTTTCGCCCGCTCCTCCTGATGAACGGACTCTGTCACCTTCCACTTTTTCTTCTTTATTTCCCCGTCCTCTCCAGCAGCTTTCTCTCATTTCTTTTGGTGCTGCCCTCTTCACCCTTTTTAAAACTCTCCCCCTTTTCTTTTCCCTCTTCAATATCCTGTCCTTTCTTTCTTTTCTTTGCCCTGACCAATTCTCTTTCTGTATCCCTGCCCCTTTTCTCAGCCCCCTTAGAGCCACCCCCCCGCACTCCTTTCTCCCCCTGCTTCCAACCCCCATTCGCCCTCTCTCCTTCTGTGCTCGCTCTTCTTCTCCTGGCCTGTGTTGGCAAAGTGGCAGAAGGAGGCGGTTGGAGGCTGAGCTAGCTGCATTAGCCCCATGCATTATTCATGTGCCCTGCAGTCTGTGTGGGTCCAGGTCCTCCTCTGCCTTGTCTGAGGGACACATGGGCCTCGTGAAAGAGCTCTGTGTGTGGGACACAGGGCCCGATGGAGGAGCTACAGTGATGGGACTATCAGCTCCTTGATTTCTGCTCCCTCTTGTAGAAGAAAGCAACAAAGAATGAGCGTTTACATCATAGATCAACATTCAAGTGCAGAATAAAGTGGTTTCCTTAGATGAGAGCAAGAATGTTTATCCAGTGTTTTCTCCTAATTCAAATTTCTCCTTGTACACATCAAAGCCCTTCATTTCCACTGAAAACCAGAGTCTGGCTTAAGTTTCCAACATATCTGCCCTGATGTTCACATGAAAGACTTGTCCCCTTTTAATATCGGCCAAGATCGCTGTTTGCCTGGCAGTGGTTCTCTCTCCAGCTCATCGGGATTCACAGGCTGTCCTCTCTGCTTTTAGAGCACACCCAGTTAACTGAACTGTTAACTGAACTGGGCTGTATGAAATTTTAATTTAGACAACCAGACGGAGATGGAGTGCCTCCTCTCTCCATCGCCATGAGCTTTTGAGGCTGTGGAGGAGCAGAGAAAGTCAGTGGGTGAGAGCGAGAGAGCCTCTGGGACTAGAGGAGGAGCCTTTTTGGAAAACCACAACCAGATACTTGTTTCATGCTCACATCTGCTTTGCCTGACACACTTATGCGTTAACAGGAAAGTATACTGACTACTTGAGTAGAATTCACTTTCTTTTAATGGACAGGTTAAAAATTGAGCTAATAGAGGTTAATCAGTCCCAGAAACCGGTTGTTTCCTGCTTCATTCTAATTATAAACTTGTCACGTGGATGTGTTTTGACAGGTTTCCCTGATAGTGTTCTGCTCTGCACAGGTGGTGTAGCTCCAGATTGGCATCGGCCCTGATGATCGCAACAACCCCTCTCCACCTCTTTTCAACCTACCCAGAGCTGATGTCTCAGAGGGCGAGGGGGTATGTTTGTTCCGGAGTCTTGAAGAGACAAGCTACATCACGGTGAGTCACGCACTCTCTGAGTCTTCAGTGAAAATGTGAAACACCGGGCTGTTTGCTTTCTCTCCTTTTTTCGAGAACTATGAGGGAAGTGCAGTCACAGTGTATTTCCTCTTGGATCTGCTAGACTAGCTTTACTAGTAAAGCTGCAAATGTGAGCTGCAGTTGATGATCGCCAAGATAGTAAACTCGTTGCTCCAGTGCTTAGGTTGTGTACAGTATGTATATAAAAAGTGCTGCCCACAGAGACTGTCACTGGAGATGACTACCTGACTCTGCAAGGGCAATGAAGGTGAGAGAAAGAGGGAGAAAATGACAGACAGAAGAGAGGAAGAATCATCTTACCCAGCACTTGAACGTGCACATATTTGCCCATCCATACACCTGCACGTTTAACACATAGTGAATGTTTCTCCCAGTGATCAAAGGGGGAGCAGATGTAATACTAAGTGCACTTGGTTCCTCGTGTGCATTTGTCTACTACCTACTCTCACTCAGTCTTCTTCATCCATGTTTATCTGGCTCTATCCGGATAAGCAGGAGGTGCTAAAGTGACACCCTGACCAGTGCGGGCTTGTGCAGAGCGAGTACCTCTAATCCTCTTAAAGGACAAACCTACACTGCATGTTTTACTACCATTAAGGAGGGCTAGTCAGCGCTGGCCTCCATTCAGCAGAGACACTGAAGCAAAGGTGGGTGAATGTGAAGAAAAAGACAAATTCTATCCCATAGATGTACTTTTACACACAGTAGTAGTGCTTAATATCTACCGTTTACAGCACAACATGCATTGTTTTTACATAACTCAGAAGTACTGTGAGGTAATTCCTACTTTAATGACTCATCCTTCCTCATTTATTGGACACAGGCATGTTTTTAAAATGCTAGGAACAAGTGTGGCAGACGGCCAGAGCCCTGCCTCTTTTAAGCTCTTCACAGAACTGTTGGCATGCAGCAGTTTGATCCATATTTCCGAAGGCCGGTCAGACCGAGCACTTGGATTGGTTTCCCCCAGGCCAAGGTATGGATCATTAAGTTTCAGGAGGGCATTCATCATCGTTAGCCAAACAGATCAGATCTAGGTCACTGCTTTTCCCGTCCCTGCCAAATTTTCCCCTTTGTTTTCCCTCTTTCAGTGGGTGAAACCGCCCAGCAGATGAAGTATATCACGAGGGAGTATCTGCTGAAAACAAAACTCAGCATAACTTAATTCCCCTTCATGCCGCAAATAAAGGCTGTCAAGTAATTATCAGGCGCTCTACAAGCCTCTTCCAGCTGCAGAGTATTGATTGGCTGAAAGAAACAAAACCCTTTTGAGGGGCGTAGTAAGTCTTGAGATTTGGTTTGCGTTCAGTCGAACTCCCCAGGGTTAAAAAGAGCCCTCCATCGCTCTTTATGTCCTCACCACTGCCTTGTTTAAGGGGCAAGCTCAGCAGAAAATGTACAGCTGCAGAGTGGTGGTGTTGTGAACGTTCATACTGGGGCATACTTGTGAGTCCTTTTATTGTGTGATGATGCAGTTGTTGTTGTTTTTGAGAATCAGGTCATTTCGCCATGTTTTGCTGCTCATGCTGACTAAACTCCACCCCTTTCTCTCACAGCCTTTTTTTTTTTTTGCTTTCTGCTCACACATCTGATTATTCATAGTGTTCGAAGCAGGCTGCATGCGGTGCATATAAAAAAGGGCCTAGATGCAAATGTAGCTGGAGCACAATTCTCGCACTGATTGCACAGTCCAAAAAAGACAGAACTGAGCTCTGAGCTCAGTTTCATTTATTCCAACCAAATCCTTTCATCTTCCTCCCACGTTTCCCTGTTCCTCTGCGTGTTCATGCACTTTTCTCTCTTTGTCGCTTCAGATAAATGGAGGAGCAGGAGCGATGCAGGAGCAGGTCTCCGGCTCGGAGGGCCAGTCGGGTGCAGCAGGTGGTGGGGACAATAATACGACGCACTCGAGAGTCACTTAGCAGGTACGGAATTAAAAGGAGTCTGAGCTGAGGGGGAAGATGTTTTTGTGGTGAAATCAGTGCAAAGGTGTTTAGAGGGTGGATTTTGATGGGAAGAAACTGAGTATGACAGAATTTAAAAAAAAATATGCTTATATGCTAAAAACAACTAAACAATGTGTAAAGAGTGGAAGAGGAACTTTAAGCACGTCTAAGCCTGGTGCCAGATTCTTGAGTGACACAAAAATGAAAAATGTGGGAAGTGCAGGTGTGTATTTGTTCAGCATGCTGAGGAAATTTACGGTACTGACTCATTGTGAGTTAGCAATAGCTAAAAAAAAAGGGTAAACAGCACGTGAAAAACAAAAAGAGGCAAAAACTGAAGAAGAAGCTGCCTTTCTCAACCTGTTATGGACCCACTAAGACACAAACACAAACCAAACCTCCTCCCTACACCCACACACTGAGCCACATAGCTAAGTACATATTCAAACCCGAACTGCCTGACTGTCCCTCTCTCATACACAAACTTGTCCCACAGCAAACCACAAATATGCTTTCAAGAATCCTTCATATTTGGCTGTCCGCTAAGACTCATTCTCAGCAATGAACGCGTTGCTGAGAAATCCCAGTAAACTTCCTCCTGGTAATTCCTGGCGAGAAGGATATTCGTAATCGTCCCCGAGGGGAATTTCGGTTCACAAATAGTTGTCATCACTGTCATTGCACATCATAAATAAACGACAAGCATACATTAAATGCAATCATAAAGAGAGCTGCAAATGCACTGAAAGTCCGCAGTTAAAAACTGTGTACTACTACCCTGGTCTGCAGCTTGTTTAGCAATCCAACAGCTGACAGAACAAATGATCTCATATATTTATTTGCTTTAGTCCTCCCCAGCCTTCTCATATGACTTGTGTTGAAGCTTTGCATAAAGAGGGTGTTGAAGGCCTGCCAGAGAGACCTTTGCCCTGTGACGGGGTCTTAGTTACCAAAACACAGCGAAGATCTATCAAGTTGGTGCCAATGATCTTTCACAATATTCTCCCGGCCTGTTTTTGTTAATCATGTTGAGGTTGTAAAACTCAAAGATCACAGCAAAACCTAAACCGATTCAATAAAAGTGTCAATGTCTGATGTGCCTTTGTGAAAACGTCAGACATTTTTTCATTCAAAAGTAAACCTATTTCCAGGGTGCATTCAAGCCAAGGATGTATGTTAATCTGTTGGTGTCATTTAATCAGTGTTAATAACAGATACAGCTTCTGAAAGGTGATTATATGATACTTTTCTCTAGTTATAAATTAAGTGAATTTAATAATAGTGAACAGACAACAACATGTCACCTTGAATTCTATATCATTTTGAGATTCACTTTGGTTCATTTTGACCTTCCATTGCCTTGAAAATGTTCAAGGTTAAAGGTTCAAGGTAAATGTACACCACAGTATTTATTGTGACTTGAATAAATGCTGTTATTTTACACCAGTAAAGTGAACTTAGCATGCTTTTCCATTATCTTTGGTTATATATATCCTCTTATGATGGTTAACGTTCATTTAGACAAGTTTCTAAATAAAGAGGTTAAATAGAGAGTATTCCTGACCTGAATGATCAAAACACTCGATTTTAGAAAGTTTCTTTCTACTGCAGCTCTCGGCGTGGGTGTAGCAACCCCACTTTTGTGAGGAACAGCCAATCAGAAGAAAGTTGACTTAACTGTAGAGGAGCTAAAATAAGTTGTCTTCAGACAGTGAGTGAAATGAGAGGCTGCATATGGCCTAAAATATATACAAGCTGTCTGAACTGTGGAGCCGGAAATACTGTGTGACACCGCAGAGAAGGTTCGCTTTACAGGATTTCTGTGCTACGTTTTAATCAGCAGTCACTGTGGAACAAATAAGAAACGTGATCTGGAAGAGCAAAAAGTAAACTTTCTCCTCTTTGAACACACTACTTGAATACATAGTATCTCTTCATGGCTGTCGTCGCCTCCAGTTGGATAACCCATCACCCTGTCTGACTTCCTCAGAGAGCGGTTGCTAGGCGATGGGAGGTCGCAGCGCTCCAACAGTCTGTCCAATCAGAACTTCCAGGCCAAGCTGACATTGCAGATTACCAGGGACCCGGTCCTGGACAGCAGCACTGGACATGGCTTCACCCTCACCACAAACGCACCCCTGCTGGTCAGGGACATCGCCACAGGTACATCGGCCGTGCAGTGGCTGTGAGTTAGCGTTACCAAATTGCCACCTGCTTTATGCAATTTTCGCTGCGTGCAGCAAGCATATTTACACTTTACCACTCTCTCTCTCTATCTCTCTCACACACTCATAACACGCACACACACATTCCTGGCATTCAGGCCCCGGGGCACGGTGCCAGAGAAGCCACGAAAACAACAGAGCCACCTGCTCATCCTTTCTAAATTCAATCACTTTTCATTTATGCAACTTTGATGGGGGATAGAGAGACTGATAAAGAGAGACAGAGTGCAGGGGAGAGAGAGGGAGAGATGCTGATCCATTACTTTATGTCTATCCTGTAAAATAAGCTGATAAATGCAGTGAGGAGGGTCCCACCCTGCCACTAGCGCTGTAGCTGCTGCCAAGGAAAAGGAGAGACGAATGAGATAGGGAGAGGGAAGTGATAACAGAAGACAAGATTTAATTGAGAGAGAAGATGCCAGCAGGAAGACCCAGAGGGAAATACACAACCAAAGTGCAAACATGGCTAAAGAAAGCAAAGTAATGAGCGTGAAAGTGTACAGAAAGTAGAGAGGGGATGAACAGTTGGTGACACTTAGGGATTGGGAATAGTCAGAGAGGCCATGTTGGTAGATGCTGAAGGAAAGTGAAGGATGATGAAGTAGGGTAGAAAGAGGAAGAGGAGGAATCGCTATTATGAAAGCTTAACAGGAGGGGACTTTGGCTTTTGGGTGTGTGTGTTTGTGTGCAAAAGCTTGCCATGCTGTACGACTTGCCTTCAGTGGGTCACAAATCAGGGACAGACGGGGCTTTGCCAGGCAGACTGGGTGTGTGAAAATTTGTGGGTGCGTGTGTTTACGTGCACAGATGCTCAGCGTGTCTGCGTGCTTGTGTGTTAGAGTAAGCTGAAACTGCTGTGCCTCAGTCGTGCTCGCTTGCCTGAAGACAAATGAGTATAAATAGCTACAGAAAGCAGAGCCGAGCCGGGCTGGAAGACACCCAGAATAACCTTAACCCTTCACGTCCCGGAGAGCTCAGCCGAACGCTGTTGAGTCAGCCATATTGAACAAGCATGTGTGTCATTCTGTGTGTGTGTGTGTGTGTTTCCCTTTTGTCTCCACGTACGCAGCTGTGGGTTTTTTTGTTTTATGCAAGCACTCACTCTTTTCATTGTGTGAATTTGTGCATCTGTGTGTGTGTGTTGATGGGAATGCGTGTGTTTAGGAAGTCCTGCAGATGGGATACTATTCCCAGGGGACCAGGTGCTGCAGATTAATGATACAGCGATGGAGGATTTGAGTGAAGAGCAGGTGGAAAATGTCTTAAGGTGAGGAGATCCATCTATCTATCTACAGTTGTGGTCAGAAGTTTCCATGCACTCATCATGGGCATGAATCTCAGGGTAATTTGGGGCTTTTAATATTTTATTTGAACTTTATTTAATTCAACTATTTCCAGGGTTGAATTAATGCCTTTAAAGACTTTTGAAGCAAGAATTGGGTGCAAAAAAATCGAATTTATTTTCCATTTTTCTAAATCACACAGGATCAGTGGTATCCACACAGGCTCAAATATATAGCCCAACTAATATTTGGTTAAATGTCCCTTCTGCAACTTGTACTTCAACGAGATGCTTTAGGTATCAATCCACAATCTTCTGGCATGATTCTGGATATTTGAACAGTCTTTTTGGTAGAGTTAATATAAATGGTCTGGTTTCCATTCCAAAACTACTTTTGAAGTGTTTGGCTTGTCTATGTGGGCAGCTGCCTCTTTCTTGGTCGCCACCCTCTCAGTTCAAGGTGTTTCAGCAGTTATCAGTTCAAGATTGAGCCTTGGGTCTTGGGTTTTTCCTGAACATCCTCACCAATTTCCTCTTGTTTGAGAGTGACAGTTTGGGTCTACTTCCAGACCAAAGTGGTGACACATCTCAATAATTTGTACTTATGATCGATGATTGTTTAGAAATCTTTCCAGCTTGTGTAAATCTCAAATTCTCCTTCTTAGAAAACTGTAGATTTAAGGGACTGTATGTATATAATTCAACCTGTATGTGTACTTTCGATTATGTGTAAATTAGAGAAAATTCAAAATAAATTCTATTCTCGTTTTTCACAGTCATTAAAGAAACCAATGACAATTATTTCAGTTGTTTTCTGGGATTTTGACGCTGATTCATGTGTGACTGCGGGTGTAGAAGGCTTAGTGAGTTAGCGGTAGAGGTCAGAGCAGAAGATGCTGACTTAATAGCTGAGCAGAAAGGTTATGATCCCTCCTCCGTCTGTGTGAATGAATGCTTCTTCTCTGTGTTCAGGAACTTGGAGGATTGTATCAATGTGACTATCCTGCGGCACATGACAGTGAGTACAAAGAAGACATTAATGAGCTCCTCGCTACACAGTCTGTATGCCATCGCTCATTTAAACATAAGCTGTCTGTGTGCTCCCAAGCATGTGACTCTTAGCTTGCCTCTTCTGACTGGATTAAGCACTTTACATTGTGCTGTGATGTATGTATCGACCGTCTGAGTACAGCTCTGAATGTTTGCATCTTAAAGCCTGCTGGCGTCAGTGTTACTCATGTGTGTCTTAGCCCATGCTTCATCCTTCATGTACAGTAATGGTGCTGATGTGTGTGTGTGCTACAGAATCCCAAGTCATCCATTATGTCAGCAGAGAAGAGAGCTCGTCTGAGGAGTAATCCAGTTAAAGTGCGCTTTGCAGAGGAGGTGGTGGTCAATGGGCACACTCAGGTGAGAAAACCTTATCTGATACAGAAGGAGGCTGCCAAACAAAAAACAAGCATTTACTGTAAGGCTACAAGCAGCAGTCAATTCACAGTCTTCCACATAATGAAATATTCTTCATTAGAGCTTATGGGCTAACATTTCTTGCAATCATTTAATATTTGATCTTTTCTCATCTGATATCGATTCTGTCTGACCACATCTCTCACTTCTTTCCACCAGGGAAACTCTCTTCTCTTCCTGCCCAATGTTCTGAAAGTCTATTTAGAGAACGGACAGACCAAGGCTTTCAAGTTCGACAACAACACCACCGTCAAGGTATGTAATAAACAGGATTACCGGCCTAGTTAGAAAGTTTTACCCGAAAAGAGCATTTAGAGCTTTTACTTGGTGGCTTCATTGAGTGGCTCCATTGTATAGTACGTTACACGTTCGCCTAACCAGCAAAAGGGGGGTGTGATCCTGGGGCAGGAGGAATGGGGCAAATCCATCCAGGGTTATGTTAGAAATGGCCATATCAAACACGCAAAATTACCTGCTCTGGAAGCCCTCGTGAATAGGAGAACAGCTGAAAGTAGCTCGCTCATCGGCCTGATGGACACAAGAGTTGCTACTTGTTTATCTTTTGATAGATATAGTAACTAAGTGACCCAAGAGATCCCTACATCATTCATGGTTGACATTTTTATTACATAACAGCAGTGTGCCCCAGTAATAAGAAGCCTGACAACAGCTATTTTTAGCGTAGTCTTGAGAAATAGTTCTTCTGGGTTTATAAAGGACTTTTTCACTCATATTCAGTCTAGTCCTTGTGTCTTTACACACAACGGAAAATTTGGAATAGACCAATTTCAAATTTGAATTTCAATCTATGAGAAGATAACACAGTTTGACTGGCATAAAATAGTATTTTTGCACCAACAAAAAAAACAATTAGCCAAAACCAAGGCATATCTCACCATGGTGTGCAGTGTGCCCTTAAAGAAACTGAGGAAACAGGGTCTTAATCTACTCTTCACTGTAGCCTCATCAGAAATGGTCTCAGTAGAAGGATGGCTGTCAAGAAGGCATTTATAAGGAAAGGCAACAGGGAGAAAAGACTGAGGTACACCAAACTACACAAGAGCTGGACCGAAAACCAGTGTCCAAGTTTTAAATTTTTGGTTCTAATGGTCCTCATATGTATGGAGGAGGTCAGGAGTTACAGCCATCTGTAAACTGTTAGCAATTAGCAATGGTGAATGATCCCAAATACACTGCCAAAGCATACCTCGATATAAAACAACACACAGTTCAAGTCTATCAGTCATGGATTGGCCTCCCCAGAGCGTGGACCTCAACAATATTGAAGCAGTGAGGGATCATTTTCACAGAAAACTGAGTAAAATGAAACCAACATCCAAAGAACAGCTTTGAATGTTTTTCAAGGAGCCCGGAGAACTGAAGACTACTTAAACAAATTACAGGAAGGCCTACCTAAGAGAGTTCAGGCTATGGTGAAGAATAAGGGTGGTCACACCAAATACTGACTTTCAAGCTCATTAGAACTGTATAAACTCTATTGTTGCCCTATATATGGTATGTTTCATGTATGTTTGCATACATAACAATAAATTGCTGCGCCTACTTACCATTTTCCTTGCAACATATAAAGAAATGACTCAAGACGGTCCTCTTATGAGCCAATAAAAAGCCCACACAGTTTCTTAAAACCACCACGAGACGGAGCACACAGGTGAATGTAGCTGTGAGATGCTTGGTAGGACCAGGTGGGACTATTTTGAAATTAAGTGCACCAGAAGCTAAGGTATGATTTCCCCCAAAGGTGTCACAGTGTGGGTTGGCTATAACAGTTGTAGTTCATTGGGAGATACTGTTTCTGAAAAAGAAAATTATGAAAAGGTCAGTAAGTCACCATCAGTAGGTACATGCTTCTGTCTTTATGAGCAGGATATTATTTTTACAGCAGCTTTTGTATTTCTGTTTGTTTTCCCAGCTGAAGGAAATCTGAGACAGGGAATCAGCTTTGTCCCTTTGCCCTCAGTGGAGTGGGACGAAACATGTTTGTCTAAGAGGTGTGAGCTGTTGGTTTTTTTTGTCATTCCAGGACATTGTTCTGACTCTGAAGGATAAGCTGTCCATCCGGGCCATCGAGTACTTCGCCCTGGTGCTAGAGCAACAGTACAGCATCACCAAACTGCTGCTACTGCATGAAGATGAGCTCATTCAGAGGGTGAAGGAAAAGAATCCATGTGGAGATATCTCGTAGATATGTATGAAGATTAAATGCTACAACTTTCCACCTCTATCTTTTGTCTTCACCAGGTGGTGCAAAAGAAAGACTCCCACGATTACAGGTGTCTGTTCAGGGTTTGTTTCATCCCCAGAGACCCAGGAGACCTACTGCAGGATGACCCCTCTGCCTTTGAGTACTTCTTTTTACAGGTCAGAGAAGCTCCTTTATTTGTTGTCACCATTACGGTCATGCATTGTTTATCTCAGAGACTTTTGCTCTGAATTATTTCGCAATTAGACTTTGGTCCTTTCTCTGCGTATGTACAGAAAATAAAACTTTGTACCCACTTTATGCTGAGTGTGCTCTGAAATTCTTCGAAAATATTGCAAAAGTAGCTCTGAAGTCAACATGCAGCCCCTCCTTATAGCTTCATGGCCTTATCCCTATAACACGTTGCTCACATTCTTTAGTCCTTCTTTTGTACAAAGCAGTTACATACTTGCTCTGATGATGCTAAGTCTTGATATTGTTACATGTGGCCTGTGCGTGTTTTTGTTGCTCACTAAAGCAGTGGAGAGTGCCGCTCATGTCACGCCAATTTACTGTTTCATTGTCTTCGCCGATTGTGTTTTCCCTGTCAGTGTCAGGTCGCTGGTTTACTTACAGATATGCTGATGAGCTACGTGCTTTGCAATGTCGGACATGCAGAGTATGCTGGGACAAAAATCAGGTCACTGTAAGGTGCGTGTGTATTATGTAATACTAAAACTGTGATTCTTTCTGCCTGCAGAGTGTTGGCGATGTGCTACGGGAGCGTTTCGCGGTGGAGATGAAGTGCAACACTGCACTCCGCCTGGCAGCCCTGCACATGCATGAGAGACTAGATAGTTGTGGACAGACCAGAACCTCAGTCAAGAGTATTACGTGAGTCATACGCGTGGGAGAGTTTCCGTTTAGGGGTCACACTAGTAGGACACTGTAATTGTGGTACTTCTCATTATAGGTTTTGAGTAATAGGGCCTTGACATTTTTTCACTGCTGCAATTACTGTGATTTGTCTAGGATGAGGCAGCTCACTAAATGCCTAATCTATTAATGTGATGGGAGAGGTTTAGTGGGTGTGTGGAGGATATTTGCCCCATTACTTGAGAGTGGAAGTGTCTCAAAATGCAAAGCAAACATCCATTTTTTCTAAGGATTGCGGCCTGGTTGTCATACATTGTTGTACATTGTATATATTGTAGTACAGAGCAGTTATCTGTACATTTCTGTACTTATCCCACAAGTTATAATTGTGAAGACAACTTGCAATTAATGGGACCGAAAGCTGAACTATGACTGTTTAGTAATATCTACTGGTAGTTTTTTTTTTCTTTTGGTTTGTTTTTTTAAAGAAATAAAGCTCAGTGAAATTTCTGAATTTAACTTCCGATATTAAGTGTATCTTTGTCCTTACATTACAACCTCTTTTCACTTTTCATGCATTTCTTTGTAACATTTTATTCACTGAGTACTTTCATGCCTCTGCAAATGTGGCGTTGACAGGAAGGAGTTCGGCTTGGACAGCTTCATCTCTCCTACGCTGCTGGGCAACATGAGAGAGAAGGACCTGAGGAAAGCCATTAGCTACCACCTCAAAAAGATCCAGTCCCTGCTAGAGCCACGCCAGAAGGTAAATGGATAAGTGGAAGGAAAATGTGAGAGGTGTAAAGAGACACATAGTGACAGCAGTGACTTCAGGCTACGTTTTAGCTGAGATGTATGAGGACTGCTAATCTTCCTAAGGTTTAAAGCGGTATATGGAAGAACAGCAGCTTGGAGGAAAAATAGATGCTGAGTAGGAGGCTAATTAAAAAGGTGAATAGTCAGTATCAGGCTTGGGTAATGCCACCCACCGCCTTTTTTGTCTGTCTTGCTCATACTGTATATCTTCTCTGTGGTGTTATAGGTAATATCTGCCAATCAGGCTCGTTTGGCCTACCTCACTCAGCTGGGAGAGCTCATTTCTTATGGGGGACGGTCGTACACAGCCACAATGATGGTAAGGGCTAAAGGCCTCATGTAAATTGGTGGATCCATTTGCTAAACGATGGAAATTGCAACCAATTAAAATGACTGCAACACTTATTTCCTTTCTTCCTTCTCCTTCCAGCTTCAGGACAGGGAAGTGCTGGTCACGCTGCTGGTGGGAGCCAAGTATGGGATGAGTCAGGTCATCAACCACAAGCTCAACGTGATCTCTACGCTGGTTGAGTTCAGCAGCATCAGCCGAGTGGAGCTGCTCACGGAGTCGGACAAAGTCAGCTTGCTGCGCATCTCGCTGCATGACATGAAGGTGAGGGGGCCTTAGGTGGGATATACATGTTCATCGAGTTGCAAGGCTGTATTATTCGTAAACATATAGACGTGGCACAGATATTCATTCACCACACTATATTCATGAACATGACACTAAATATAGGTCAAGCATTCTTTCTCTACTATACATGCGATATATAACAGTATACAGCCTAAAGCTAGCTATATATAATGTTAATTCATGAATGCAAAGGTGACTGTCTCTCCCTCTTTCTCCCACTCCATCGCTTTTCCCCTCTTACCCTTTGGCTTTAAACACTACTACTTTACCTTTTTTCTGCAATACCCTCCCCCTCTCAGCCATTTGCCTTACTGATGGACTCTCTGGCAGCCAAAGACTTAGGGTGTCTGCTGGGAGGCTACTGCAAACTCCTGGTGGATCCCAATGTCAACGTCTTCCGTCTGGGGCGCCCAAAAGTGAGGGTGCACCGGATTCCTGCTGAAGAAGGTGTGTGTGGGAGGTTCGCCGTAATAGAGGGCGTGTGCTATGAATCCCTATCAAGTGAGCAAAAACTGTTTCACTTAAAACGTATGACTTTCTGGCTTTGGCCTTTTTGATAGCCTTTTTTTCACCTCACATGTTTACTTATGTCACCATCCAGTACGGATACGGATAAAAAAAAAAAAGATAAGATGTCATATTTTTTTTTTACTATCAAAAATTAAATATTATTCTCCTTTATGAATGCACTAACACAGCTTTCGCAATGCTTGTCTGGTGTTTGTGCACTTTCTGGGTTTTATTAGGTTATGTGTCTCGCTGCTGCAGTGACTCAGACGACTCAACAGACGAGGATGACCCGATGGATTCTCAGAATTACAAACGCCCAGACCCAGCAAGTCAGGACTGGGAAGAGAGGAGAAGAGAGGAGGAAGAGAAGAGGAGAGAGGAAGAAAGAAAAGAGAGAGAGGAGCACAAAGGCAAACAGGAAGTGAGGATAATAGTGACAACAGAAGGTAAAGGAAATGAGAGTCCAGATGAAGGAGGAGCAACAGGAAGTGGTCTGCATAAATTCAGTGTTATGGATGAAGAAATGAACCTGGACTCTTCCTGGTACCACACTGACCTGCGAGTCACCAGCAGCTTCTCCAGCTTGTCCAGCAGTTCCTTGAGCACTGCACTTGAGGAGAGCAGTGCTGCCAGCAAATCCAAATCTCGCCTTCACGGGCCGCACGTAGGCGAGGATGTTCCGAGTTTTGATGTTCACCACCCCTACCTCCTGGAGCCAAAACGCCATCAAGGGCCACGTAGACCCACTAACCTCAATTACCGTGGGAATGACAACTCTTGCCTCTGCTTTGCTGACCTCTCCAAGTCTGACTTCCTACCAAGCCCGCCTGGGGCTACCAGTGATGACGATGATGACGATGAAGAGGAGGAAGATCGGGGCGCTGAGACACTTAGACGTATTTCTAAGATTCCTAGTTCAAGAGATTTGAGAATGATTGACAGCATACCCTTTCAAAGATCACCTATTAAAAGAAAGAAAAAGACCCCTCCCAAAGTCCCAGTAAGAACAAGTTCAATTCCTGGGAGCAAAGCAGGAAAGGCTGAGAACCGCCTGTCAAAGGATGAAGACAGCATGTTTCTGACACCTTCACCCAACCCCAAGCCGAATCTTTTGGTCAAAGACAATGTCTCAGACTCTGAGGATGAGTTTTTCGATGCACAAGAGAGATTTACTCCTCCAGTTCCTGATCTCTCAGGTTTGTTTACAGCATGCTTGATAACTTAGTCCCTTGATGGTATATTTATCTGTGTACTGGTGACATGTGACAGCACTGTGACTACGATATGTTGAAAGGAGACGGGACAATTGTGAGAAGATGTGTGTCGGTCCATTAATACCTGTCTTTCTGTTGTTTTCATTTCATTTTTCTCATTCTCTCACAGATGCAGAGCTGGCTGACCGACGCAATGCTAATCGTTTAAGTGGAACCTGGAACAGTCTTCCAGCTGTCTCGCGGAAAGAGCCGTCATCTCCACTTGCCAATAAAAGCCAATCCTATAAAGCCAAGAAAGAAGCAGATACACTTAAAGCCCCTTCGAATCAACTCAACAACCAGCAAGGCAGTCCTTCAAAGCCATCACAGAAACCTGATGTTAAGGTCAAACCACCATTGGCACCGAAACCACAGCTGCCTCCAAAACCTCAGATCATTCCTCCCAAGTCTCCCCAGCATGGGAGATCATATGCCCAATGCAATGGAGATGCCTCTGGACGTTTGTCGTCGGAACTCCTTGAAATGGAGCCGGACACCATGGAGTTCAAGTCGGTCACATCAGGTGGATTGCCTATGTCGTCATCCTTGATCACAGCAGTGCGATATAGCAAGCAATCACTATCACAAGATGAAGAAAAGACAAAAAGACAGGAAAGCAGCACAAAACAAAGTAAAGATCTAGAAAATGGAGCGCGTGCTGTTTCCAAAAAAGAAAAATACATTCTTGATGAATCGCAAATTCCTGAAGCTGAGGGGAAAACCAGTGGAACTGACCTGCTAACAAAGAGGCCAGCAAGCCTAACCCCAATCACTCGCTCTAATTCAGGAACTAAGCTAACAATACCCCCTCCAGTGCCTCCCAAACCCACTTCACCAAGCAATCGTCACCCCTTATCGCTACCTGCCAGCTCTCCCGTCTCTCCTACTGATCCAAGCAAAGGGATCTGTAAGGATGGCGTCAGTACTCCAAATGGAATTCACCCTTGGAGCAGTCGTAATGGGAGCATCCAGTCAGGACCTAGAAGGGTCTCTCTGAGCCACGAGAGCCTTTCACCCAAAAATACAGATGCACCTCTTACAGTTACCACCTCGCTGACCTCAACCAATTCTAAAGGGGGCCTAGAAAGCAGAGAATCTGGAAGATCTGGTTCAGGATCTGACCTGAGAACCAGCTCCTCCAGTCTAGGAGGCAGGCTACCTGCCTCAGCCCTGAGAGGGAAGATTCAGGCCCTTCCTTGGTACATGACCCGTTCCCAGGAGATATTAGGAACTCTGGACTATCCGTCCACTAGTTCCATCAATGGCGACACATCTGGATTTGGCTCTGGTTTGTCTGTAGCCAGTGGCTTATCAGACCTAAACAAAACTCCTGTCAAGGACAAAGAGAGTGTGCCCTCAAAATCAGGAATCAAAGGGACCATTTTAGATGATGGAGCTGAAGTTGTCATAGCAACAATCAAAGAGGCCCAAGAATTGTCGGCACACATGAAAAAGGCCAGTGGAACAAACGGCTCCCACCCTAATCTAAGTTTTAGAGAAAATATTGCACGTAGCAGCAGCGTTTCATCAGAGCAGCCTCAATCGCGGTCTCACTCAGCAGTCGGGTTGGGAGGTGTGTCCAGCATGGAGATTGGAGGTGACTCACCGACCTCCTCACTGGCAGACAGCACTCCTCCACAGCAACACCGGGAGGCTTGTGGCTGCCGCACTGTTTACGCCAACTGTTTCAGCGGAGACACAGAGGATGGCGTTAGCTTTGATGATGAGCTCACAGTTTATGAGTTCTCCCGTCGCATACGCCCCAAACCTGTCCAGCCGGCACCTGCCCCATCTCCTACAACAACACCCTCTCTCAAACCCAATATTCTTTCACTGCTGAGGGACAACCCTCGCCCGCTGTCTACTTTCTCTACGACCTCTTCTGAACTCAGTCCTCTTGTTTCGTGTCCAGTTTCACCCACAACCTCATTCGGCGGCTCGCTTCGTTCCCTAACTAACAAGAATTATGGTGGGCTGAAAGGCGGCTTTGCCTCTCTGCGTCACGATATAGATCAGCTTCTTCTGGTCTTAGAACGAGGTGCACCTGAGCAAACAGAGCAAACATCATGCCAAGATGCAAAGCAAGATAGCACAAAGTTAAAAGTAGGGCCTGATCTAAATCATAACGGAACCGAAGACAGCCCTGCCCCAGAAGCAAGCCTAAAGTGTAATAGGATGACACCTGCTACCATGACAGAGGCCGAGAGGAGTCTTCTTCAGGCTGAGGCTCGACGGTTAGCATCTGGATGTCAACGAGCCACGCGGGTAGGCTGGGCGCCCGATGAAGCCCTGCGTTCTTTATCCAATAGTTTTAGTGCCCTGGTACAGCTGTCGGCAGCCTGTCTGCAAACAAACCCTTGCACTGGTTGTGACATGTGCCATAATACAAATCTGGTTCAAAAAGTTGAGGACAATGATGGCCAAGAGGCCATGGACAAGCTGAAAGAGATAGTGGGGCTGTATCGGGAGTTTGTTGGGGCTGTTGAGACAGCTGGAACTGGCGCTGGGGCAGTGGGTAGGAGCGGGGGCGTCAATGGGACCGTACAGGGTCAGGGAGAGGGCGACGGGGTAAGGCTGCTAGCCAAACGATGCACTGTGCTCATCTCGTCTGTATTCGCACTCACTCAGCTCTTCCGGACACCCACGGTAGAGCCCTCGGACACACCCGGACATGTACCTCTAAAATTTTGATCTGTGAACTTTTACCCACTAATAACGCACTGACTCTAGAGGTGAAGACAAGAAGAAGCAGCACAGAGCTATCTGGTGTGTAACGCTTGTGTTCTTGTACAGTAAGTGCCATGCACACCACACCACAGCACACACATCACACACACACCCACATTAAAACACAAACACCAAACACACCCCTAAAACGAAGCGATGTCACTTCGTTGCTAAACCTCTCCTTGGACGCATACGGACTATGCATTTGTACATATGAATTTTATAATTATCTCATAATTCTCTTATTTTATGATACAATATGTGTATGTATGTAATGATGAATTACCCATGTATGTATTTATGTATTTATTTTTACAATATTTGCACCATGATCTGTGACTGGCAGGTCTCTGGTGAGGAAAAAAAGAACTATGGATGTCACTGGAACTTTTTTTTTCCCCCTCCCCTTTGAGACAGTATTACGTTATCTTTTTGCTGCTTTAAATATTGCTCCACTCCACAAGGTGTAATCTGTAAATTGTCATTTTCTACGTTTATGATTACGGTACGTTTACTGACAAACTACAGGAACTATTCTGTATCTCACTTGCGAAATATAGTAATAAACTGATTTGTTTTATATGTGCAGGTTTTGCACCTTTGTAAGGATTTAGTTTTTCAACATTACAGTCACGACTATACCATTACACAGCAGGGAGAGCACTTTTGACTGTTACAGATTGCACCTTTTTTTGAGACATGTACCCTTGTGTAAACTGTTTTTCTGCCCCTTCCCGGTCCATATCTGACTTTGTGTGAATGCTTCCTGGATATAACCCCATTACCCAATCGTATGCAGTATTATAATATTACTCTAGTTTTCATCCAAAGGACACTACATACAGTATATATTTTCTGGGAATGTGTGGGTGAGGTCCACCCAAACAGGGGACCTTATTTATGTAGTTTTTTTTTTTTTGACGAGGCACAAGAGTGACTGTTAAACTCTATCCAGATGTAGCAAAGATCCAAAGTCTTAAAACACTGAGCCACAACTGTTCCCTGCCATTGTTTCGTCTTTGGGTGCACCACTTTATTAACTGAGTACTGACTGATGGATGGGCTGATGGTCAATGCTGGGGTCAGAACTGTAGATATACATTTATATCTCTGTGTCCTATTCTGTCCCTACTTTAGTTTATGGCTATGCAAACATAAACCCCTCAACCCCCCCAAAAAACCCGGTGGTTTTTTTGCGCTAACATTAAAAACAAACAGCAGCTGCATTATGTTTGCTTGAATATAATGGATGCTTTCTTTGTTTGGAATGTTGGTTTTTGTCTTGTTTCTGGAAAACTTTCTGCATTAAGGAATGCAACATTTTGCAAGGTTGCATGGCATTAGCATTTTGTCAATATAAAGACTTCTGTCTATACTGATGTCTGTGAACTTTCAGTAAAAGGACTACGTTGCTCAATCGGTTTGCTGATGTACAGTGTTCACTTATCAGCTCCTCCATATCACATGACGCCATCCGATTTGAAGGATTTACTCGAGCCACCTACAAACAACAGGAAGCTAATTAAGCCAAATCAGTCAGCGGTTGCTTATTCAAATATGATAAGGGGATTAGCTGAAATAAAGACTGCTTAAGTGCTGAGAAACAGCTGGTGAGGGGAAAGGTAGTGTATTTAATCTTCCAGACTGATGACTGAGGGAAATTTTGTTAAGGTAGTTGTGCAGCCATCACCATGCTAACGTCAAGACGTTGTGTCTCAGGAGGGTCTCCTGTTGTTCATTAGGCTGGCTCCATCAGTAAAGAGTGCCTGTGTCACTAACTCTTTCCTGTACGGGAACATTGTATGAACAGCATTTCATAGTCAGAGAGTCCACTGTGTTTCTACAGAAGCAGCCACTTTTCCATCCCCACATAAAACATGAAGTTAGTGTACCAAGAAATGTATTGTTTGGGAATAAATGAAACACTGACCTTAATAATGCTGTCTTGAATATTTGGGAACTGTGTGTACTTTCATTTACCAACAAGCAATTCATGAAGCTCCATTCACAAATATCGAGTGTTATTTATGAGATCATAAGAGATATCACTGCACACCGATATTCAACCCCATGGTGAATATTTCACTTCAGCAGACAAACTAATATTTATGAATCTCATAGCCTCTGTACCATCTTTACGCTCCAACTCCAAAAGTCTTGGGTCACCCCTTATTTCTTTATATGTTGCAAGGAAAACTGTAAATTGGTGCAACAATTTATTGAAATGTATGTAAAGATACATGAAACATACAGCATAAAATGCAAAAACTGAGTTTGTACAATTCTAGTGAACTTGAAAGTCAACATTTGGTGTGACCACCTTCATTCGTCACCATAGTGTGAACTCTCTTAGTAGAGTAAATTCTTTAAGTAGTGTTCAGGAATGGTTCTCCAGGCTTCTTGAAGAAATAGCAAAGCTATTATTTGGCTATTAGGTGCCTTTTGCTCCCTTCTGTATCAAGATGATCCCACCCTGCTTCCGAAAACGATTGCTCAAGAGCAATATAACAAATCTGGTTTATTGGAAGCATAGTATAAAGAAATGAGGGGTGGCTCAAGATTTCTGCACAGTACAATAACGAATGAAGATTGTAGGATTGTTTTTTCAGTGTTAATTTCCTACAGTTTCAAGATGGCAGTGTTGGTCTATGCATGAGGCCACCCCCTCCCCTTTTTGCTTTTTTGGTACTGGTCTTCAAACTATGTGGAGAGCCAATTAGCAGAGTTCAAGCAATATTTGTGCTACTATGATTAAAAAGGATTTTTAGATAAATTTGCACATAAAAAAAAGTTAGATTTAATCTAAGACAGCAGTCAGAAGGACACTTGATGTGGTGCAAAGAGAGCTGAGAGGCTTTGAAGCAACAGCAGTTCAGCGCTTCTTGATCTAAAGTCCCTCTGTCAGATTGTCCTTAATCTGATCATCATCTGCTGTCAGACTTCTTGACACAGTAAGCTAGAAAGTGGTACTCTGCGCTGACCCAAAACTCAGTCTCACAGTGCTGACTTGATGTCATTTCTTTTAAACAAAAATCCTTGACAACACTTACGCACATTGCATAAGTGTTGTCACTTACAAAGAAGGGATTATAATTAATAAACGGGAAAAACAGGTCGAATAGTTTACACATTATCATTGTATGACTCATAGGTACAGAGCAATGAGGTCACAAAACAGACACAAAAACTGTTTCATAACATATGTGTGTCTCAGTTACGTAAAGGAAAATCTTTCTTCTCTCTAGGTGAAAAAATGACAGTCAGCTCATTTTTCCTGAAGTACTTCTGTATTTATTCAGGTTTTAACTGAGATTTAAAACATTTTAGCACAATTACTAACGTGACATTTCATTTTCGTAGTGATCCAGAAACTTTTGCTTCAGGAAAGTGATAAACAGCGTTATTTGATACACTTTTGAAGAGAATATTAGAATGAAAAGACTTGAAGAAATAGGCCGAGTGATCCATTTACATGGCAGCTTGAGCTTTTTGTGCCACTGAACATTACCCTCTGTCCCCGTCTTCTCTCTGTGCCACTACTATGAAGCCTCTCTCTCAAGTGTGCAAGCGGCATGCCTTTCCTCTTCGGGTTGTCGAACTCAGCAAGAGCTGCAGTATGGTGACTGCAGCTACTCAAGCTTGAAATCTGAGCCCATTATGTCAACAGATGTTACAGACAGAGGGGAGAGCAAGCGTGACAAGAGAAGATATTAAAGTGAGAGCAAAAGGGGGGAGAGATACATAAATAAAATAAATGGCAGTAAGTTTTAAAAAAGGAAACAACCAGTGAGGAACATTTGTCTCATAGCCAATAAAAGAGCAGTAGTGATGCAGAACTCAACCACAGGTCTTCTTCTCCTATTTGCCATCTTACACATCAAGACTGTTTTTTTTCCTCCCTGTATTTCAATTAAAAAAAAAAAAAAAAAAAAA